CCCAAACCCCAAAACCCCAAAACCCCAAAACCCCAAAACCCCAATTCCATATTCAAATGATGTCAAGCAGTAAAGTCTACAATTTATTAATTTGCTATATAATCAATTTAAGCCAAACTATAAGGAGGAGGTAATTAAACAAATTTATGACTCAACTGATTCAGTGAGCCTATGTCTGGTTCAACTTATTGCAGGTATCCTCAAGAAGGGATAGCAAAGTCTCCTCATTTTCTTCTCTATCTTTCTTTTCATTTTCAATCTCAACCTTGATCTTGTTAACCATGTCCTTAAGCATTTCCAAGATAGCCTCCTCTGTTTCCTCTCTGGCTTTCTTCTCATTACCAATAATATCAGTGAGTCTCTCTACTTCCTCTTCAACTTTCTATTTAACTTGAGTATCATTCTCTTCTCTTTCAATAGCTTCAGTTTTGATAACTTCTTACAACTTAGGGAAATCATTTTCAAGGCAGGACTTTAAATGCTCAACACTTTCATATCTGTTTCTTGACTCCTTGCTTACATCTGCCTTCAAAGCACCAAACCTGTCTTCAATGATAGCAATCAATCTCTTTTCCATGTCTCTTCTAGCTGCATTTTCCTATTCAAATCTCTCTTAGATCTTTCCCTCTAGGTTTTTTAATTCTTATAGCCTGGTTTCATGTTGATATTCCTTGGCAAGTTTATCTTCTTCAATGTACTTTTGATATTCATTGATTCTGTCCTTGAAGATGTTAAATTTCTTATTATTTGATTCATGCCAGTCAATGATCTTATCATCAATCTATTCGATCTTTTGATCTACATTCTCAAGCTTCATGAACTTCTCTTGCTCGATATTTAAGTGCAAATCATTTAGTCTTTCAGTAATCTTTGTAACTCTGTCTATGTACTTAGATGCGAAAGCTGAGGACATCTTCTGGGTTAGTGGGTTCAAAGCCATTTTGAAATCGTTAAAAATTAAATTTATTTAATTTTTCTTCAAATTTGAATTCAATCTATGAATTTACCTCATGGGGTTTTGGGGTTTTGGGGTTTTGGGGAGATCGGAAGAGCACACGTCTG